AATAAACCAGGGGAGAACAACTTTATTTCTTCACAATCTGAATAACATCCTCATCTTCAAGGGTGTGGTCCTTACCAACTTTTTGAGGGTTGTGTTTAACAGATGAACCCCAAACCAGTGCACTGAAAGGAGAAGAAAAATCCAATTTAAAAAGCTCAGAAGTATGATATGCAAGCAGCAGAGCAGCAGCTATTTCTGTCACAAAGCTAATACAGAAAGCAATGCTTCAGAGCTATTTTTATTCTTCTGCAAGTACCTGGCTGAGTGGTCTGTGAACCAGGGTACAAGCAGATCAAAACAAAATATGAAGTTATCCAAAGTACCCAAGGGCACGGGACAATGGCCTGTAATGCTGCATCTAACACTACTTTCAAATACAAAGGAAAACATTTTCCCCATAAAGGAAATGCATGCAGAAAAGAGTATATAAACATCAAATACAGCAATTGAAGTGTAATTGTCAGAGGTAGATCAACATTAAAAAAAAAACTTTAAAAATCCTGTTTTCCCTTCAAGTTTACAACAGAACGAAATAACATTCCAGGATGCAGATTGTTTCCTGTTCTCTATAAATCAGTCTTTTACAATAACACTTACTATTTAAAGTCTTTAATGAGATTTTTGTGGATCTTCATGCAAAAATCCTCCACTGTTGTCTTGCAGTAAGGTAGTACCACAGGAGAGGTGTAGTCTGGGAGCTGCCCCTTGGGTTTGGTGTAGCTGTGACACAGATGGAACAGTCAGTCAACACCAAAACCTCCCTTCCCAACCCATTTCATCAGCCATTTGTGCTGTCAGCCCAGGGGCTCTGCCAAGCTCTGTTATTTCAGTGGTGACAATGGATATGCTGTGAAAGGTTTGGTGTTTCTAAGCTGAAAATGCATCTGGGCAGCCAGTGGGTTCTCCCTTGTAATGCAAAGGTTTCTCACTAGTGAGCTTTCTGTGGGTGCTTAAAAAAAGGTGGAATGGGAATAACAGATGGAAAAAAACATCTACAGTATTATGGTTCTGACTTGTGATTTTTTTTTCTGTGAAAAAAAACCTGATGAAGTTTATAGCCCAGATACCTAGACACTAAGTCCATTTTGACAACAGATTTTATATTATCACAATATAGGTGTAAATTTAAAAGGCTACAATTACTGTATTATGAGTATGAATAGATTAATTCATAAATTCATCCAAAAATGCATTAGAATTGTGATGTAAACCTGGAATAACCTGCAGGAAAAATATCTCAAATTCTAGATGAAGAACTAAGTTCTGTTAAGAGAGCTGAATGCATGACAGACTGAAAAGACGACTACCTCTGGAATTCACAATTTTACACTAAGTTTGACTAAAATTCCATGTTTTCAGGAGTTTTTTTAAGATGTCCTTGTTTAATTCCCCTACAAGTTCAAAACAGCACTTGTGGCTGTCAGACAAGAGGAGCCCAATTTGCACTTTACGAAGCAAACATAATTCAGCTTGTAGAAAACCATCATCAAACTCATTCAATCCATTCTTGAGACCTTTTTCAGTCTCAGCCTTACACTGAACTCCACAGCAGTTGTGACTCACATTCGTACAAGCTTCAAGTAGTCCCAAATTTTCTCCAGCAGATCATCAAAGTTCCAGCGATGATGAGCAGATATTGGCACACAGTGGGGTACTTTGTAAATAATATCTAGTTCCTCAATGGAAATTTGGTCAATTTTATTTAGGACATAAATGCATGGGATGTAGACCCTGCAAAGAGAAGGACACAGTTACAGCAGCCCGGCAGCAGCACCCTGCTACCTTCCTTGGGAAGAAACAGTCATTTAAAAAAGCATAAGCTGGCTCAGCTTCTGTGGGAAGCAAGCATGAGGGACAATTCTTTTTTTTTTTTTTTTGTAATACAAACTGCAGTTGCACCAAAGGCAGAGCCCAGCAGTACCTGTTTCCTTCAACCACGTCGATCAGGTCGTCGGCCGTGGCATCGCTGCGCAGAGTGACGTCGGCGTTGTGGATTTTATACTCTGCTAAGATGCTCTTCACTGTTTCAGTGTCCAGCTCGCTCTGAGGACACTGAGCACAGACAGGCACAGGATTAGAGAATGGAAGTTCACAGCCAAATCAAGTGTTATAATTCACAGTGCTGTCACCCAGCAACCGCTGCGTATGGATTACGAGAAATAAGGGCTGCGTTTTGAGTTACTGGACTTGACTCTGATTTCATCAAAGCTACTCTGAGGAGAGGGGGAAACACATTTAAATCCTAAAAGCTTTGATTTTATTAATGCCCCACTGAGAGCTGCAATCAGACATTTCAGAAGCAGTTTCCTGTCAATCTGGGACTAGCTGCAACACAAACCCACATATCTACCAGTTTAGTGCCCAGATAAGTACACATTAGGGACTCAGAGCCCAGAGTTCTGATTTTTGGTATCTCTGGATATTTCTGTGCTTTTGAAGATTCAGTGGGAAATGGGAAATGGGGAGTAGTCCAGGTTGTAAGGCCCAGAACTCTGAGCAATCTTCTCCAGAAGAATCCTGTAGCTGCCAAGTGAGAGGCAGTTTCTGCACACTCTCCTTTGGACCTCAAACTTTAAAGTGTAGAAATAGACTGAGCCTCTGATTTGGGGGCCAGGAGGTGGTCAGGCTCCAGGAGAGGTGTGGATGGCCTTCAAGGAAAGTAACTGACTGTAGCACAGGACAGCAATTCACAGCACAGCTTTGTCCCAGGCATACCATCAACTGCAAAGGCCTTTTTCTTCAAGCAATTTGTTTTTTAATTTTGGTTAAAGAAAACTTTCAACTTACTGTGGCTGTAAGGTTAATGCCTCCTTTATCCTTTTTTTTAAAGCCAATATTGGGGGGCTTACTATTCAGACGAATTCCAAATCCCTCCAGTTCATTCTCTATGATTTTCTTGTGGCCAAGGGGTTTCAGCACGTCCAGAACAATCAGAATGAGATTACAGGTTCGAGCAACTACGAACCAGAAAAAGAAAGTCATCTCTCAAAAAAGCACACTGACACAACCTAAGACAACCAAAATCTGGCTCAGTGGACTGGTGACAATAGGAAACCTCTGAAGGCCAGCACATTGCTTATTTTTAAATTCCAGTGAAGACTTAAGTTCACTGTGCTGTCCAAGTATCACTGATAGACAGACCCTTACATGTTGTAAGAATCACAGAGGTTGGAAAAAATCTTCCTTCCTGTCTCCATTCAGACCCCAGATTGACGATAATAAGCTGAAGAAATTAAGACAAAAGCCTTGTTGCAAAATTGCAAATGTACTTCCACTGCAGTGCCAACACAGAGCAGGAGCTTGGCAAGTGCACAAAGCCAGAACTGAAAACAAAACAAAATGAAAGCAGCTACTACTCCTCTGCAGGCAGCTCAAGTCCAGCAAACAATCCAGATTTTAAAGACAGCAGAAACAGTGATTCAACCCTTCCTTCTCCTGTGCTGTGTTAAATGAACCACTGATATGCTGCTGTCTCCAGCTCCAGCTCCAACTCACCTGCAATGACCTGCCGTCCTCTGCCTTTACCATCCTTGGCACCTTCAATAATTCCTGGCAGATCAAGCAGCTGTTTGTTCACAGGAAGGAAAGTATAACATGAGAAAAATATTCTTCTTCATTGACAAAATAAATACTACTTTTACCTTTCTCCTAAACCAGCTGACTCTACTGCAAATCTGAACAGAATTCAACAGGATTGTTTCCCCTTTGGCTCTTATATATTGTATTATCCCATGTATTGGTACAGTGGAACAGATCATCTCATAGAAAGTATAAGAACTACCACAGGAGCTTCTTCCCAGAGCAAAGCAAAAAACAAGGAAAAATTATGGAAATGTTTCCAAGGTATTCTCAAGCACTTTTATATGTCACTTCTACCCCATTAATGCCAGGCCACACCACTCAGCCCTCACAGCATCTACAGAGCCCATTTACCCTCACAGAGTCAAGGAGATCTCACCTGTATCTTTGCTCCTTTGTACCTGATGACTCCAGGCACAGTGGTCAGTGTGGTGAATTCATATGCTGCCACTTCAGAGTACACACCAGCAAGGTTACTTAGAAGAGTAGATTTCCCCACTGATGGAAAACCCACAAACCCAATTCGGGCATCTCCTGTCTTTGCAACATCAAAACCTGCAAATAAGGAGCAGAAATATTTGTCCAAACATGGACATTTTTTGTCTTCTAATGTTCTGGACAGCAGTCCTGCTATTATTTTTAATACTGTCTGAGCAAAAGCCAAGTAAGTTTTCCTACAAGGAGGATGAGGGTGTGAAAGAGAGTCACAATCTTTATTTATTACCTTGCACCCTTTTGTCTCCAGAACACTCCATGGCATGTACCTGTCAATAAACTGTTGTCTGAAAGGCTTCCCAGTGGACTAGACTTGACTTTGTAAGTGGAGCATTTCCCTTAAGCACTGAGCTTAGACAATTCACACCTTTATATATAAAAACGGGTGGCTGCTGCAAGGTGCTTCTTCATGTAAAAACTTTAAGGCTTCTGCAAATACAATACTATATCAGCCAAAATGAGAAGCACTTTCCTTTACACTTCAGGAAGGGCTGCCCTTCAAAGTCCTCGGGCCACAAACCCTGGCACAGATCCTGTACCAGGAAGGACAAGAGGGAGAGGAAGGTACACGTTGCTCAGAGAAGCTGTGGCTGCCCCATCCCTGGAGGTGTCCAAGGCCAGGCTGGATGGAGGCCTGAGCAACCTGACTTAGTGAGTGGCATCTCTACCCATGGCAAGGGGTGGAACGAGATGATCTTTAAGGTCCCTTCCAACCCAAACCATTCCGTGATTCT